CTCCGGCGATCCTTCTGCCTCAGCCTTCCAAGTAGCTGGAACTACAGGCACACGCCACCATGCTCGGCTAATTTTTTGATTTATTGTAGGGATGAGGTCTTGCCAAGTTGCCCAGGCTGGTCTCGAGCCCCCAGACTCAGGCGATCTTCTCGTCTCGGCCTCCCAAAGTGCTGGGATTATAGGCTTGAGCCATTGTGCCAGGCCTGAGCCCCTGCATTTCCAACCAGCCCCTGGCAATGCTGATGCGGAAGGCCCACAGACCGCATTTTGAGCAGAAAAGGTCTCCAGTGACCATCAGTGCCTGGCTAGTGTGTCCCCATCCAGGGATGGCCACAAATGAGCAGGGAGAGGAATCCACCGGCAGGGAGGGCCCTGCCTCATTCCATCAGATCCTCCTCACAGCCTGATGACGTGGTGGCTATTAGAATTCCCTTGGAGTTTTTGCTTTTTATATATATTTTTATTTTTTCGTGAGTTGAGGTCTCCCTCTTGCCCAGGCTAGAGTGCAATGGCACGCTCACAGCTCACCACAGCCATGACCTCCTGGTCTCTGGTGATCCTTCTGCCTCAGCCTTCTGGGTAGCTGGGACTACAAGTGCTCACCACCATGCCTGGCTAACTTTTTTGATTTATGGTAGAGACGAGGTTTCACTATGTTGCCTAGGCTGGTCTCGAACTCCAGAGTTCAGGCAATCCTCCTGCCTTAACCTCCCCAAATCCTGGGATTACAGGTGTAAGCCACTACACCTGGCCTGCATTTTGTTTGGGGTTTTTTTTGTTTGTTTGTTTTTACTAACTTATTTTAGATCTTCCTCATCCGTCTGCAAAGCTGCATAGTACCCCAGTGTGTGGATGTACCGTAATTTATTTATTTATTTATTTTTGAGTTGGAGTCTCACTCTGTCGCTCAGACTGGAGTGCGTTGGCCGCTCCTGGCCACCGCAGCCTCGCCTGCTGGGCTCCAGCGATCCTTCCACCTCAGGCTTTCGAGGAGCTGGAACTACAGGCACGCACTACCATGCCCGGCTAACTTTTTGATTTATTGTAGAGATGAGGTCTCGCCAAGTTGCCCAGGCAGGTCTCGAACCC